AAAAAAAAAAAAAAAAAATCTGTAACAGAGAGCTAGAGGCAGGGGATCCTTTGATTGAAACTGGTTCTACTCACCTCATGTCAAGAGACTAAAAAACTTTTTCAATTATTTTGAGTTCTTTCCATAGTATTTGTTACATTAACATCAACCTAAATTTTGTGCAGGTGATATTTATAACACAAACATAACCATTAAGATTGAGTAAGGAAGGTTCAAACACCTTTTTTTTTAAAGCCAATGCCCAGGGGAAGACACACATAACTTAATATAAGCCTGTAGAATATCTAAGATTCAGCAGTAAAGCATATAAGACAGTCCTAAACTAAAGACCAGCAGACTCCAGCTAAGGATAATCAGGAAACCTGGTGATGTAATTATGTGCATACTATCCTAATTCTTATCTAAATGATGCACAAAATAATTCACTCAGATATAAATGAAAATTTCTAAACTAAGCAGAATCCAGAAGGATTTACAGCACTGAAACAATATTTCAAGAAGACAATTGAAACACTGGAACATCAAAATGCAAATTCTATCCTTTAATGCTTATGTTATTTGATTCAAGTCTGTGTGTGCAATTTCTGCACCAGGACATAATGGCACAAGTTTCATCATATGTTATCCTTCCTGAGGGAACTTATGGCAGAATCAAGTCCATAAATCTACATAAATATACACATGCATATACCAACACATACCTGTAATTATTTACATTCAATCAGACATTTAAAAAAGATCCTTCTGAAGAAATAGTGTCTGCCAAATTTAATCAGAATTTGAATACTCAGTAATAATGGTTTTTCCTCTTCTTTTTATTTCTTTCAAAATAAACTCAACTTCTCAAATGTTTGAGAAACTGAGAAAAGGTTACCGTATTTTTTGGAGTATAAGACACACTGGAGTATAAGACGCACCAAGGTTTTGAAGAGGCATTTAAAAAAAAAGCTGATAGAGGGATACAGAAATACAGTAAGTAGGTAGGGAGAGAGAGAGAGAGAGTAGAGATAGGTAAGTAAGTAGATGGGGAGAGAGGGGGGAAGAGAGAGAGAGAGAGAGAGAAATACAATAGGTAGATAGGGACAGAGAATAGGTAGGTAGGTAGGTAGAGGGATAGAGAGAGAGACAGAAAAATACAGTAGGTAGGGAGAGAGAGTGTGAGTGTAGGTAGGTAGGTAGGTAGGNGTGGCCAGTTTGCCGTCCCTACCAATTTGGCGACCCAGTCCCAGTTTTTACTACCAGTTCGCCCGAACTGATGCGAACCAGCAGCAACCCACCTCTGGTTTGCAGATAGAAAGAGAAAGAGGGGAGCAAAAGAAGGTTTTGAGAAAACAGAGAGTTGTGTTAGAAAAATATTTAAACAAAACTCTTCACTTTATAAATCAATTATATTCCAAAGATGTTATACAAATTTGCAAGTGATTGGAAGAAAGATGAGTATATCAGAGATGTAATTATGTTTTAAAAGTTACCAAATCAGTGAGGCAATTTCACAAGTAGCTGACCATGCAAAGGACTTAACCACAATCTTGGAATACAAATCTGACACTAATCTTTATTGTGATGATGGCTTAAATATAAACTTCCCAGCTGCAATTTCAAGCAAATGTACAACATTCAGGAGGACAAGTTTTGAACTTTTTCTTTATGGATATTAACATTGTTGTTTATAATTACTTGTTAAACATACCAGAGATAAAAAAGGTTGTATTCTATGAGGATGAGCTGGAAAGAGTGACTTAAATTTAATCAGTTAATTGGAATTAGGAAGAATTTTTACCAGTCTGATATACTGTATGTAACTGAAAGAAAATTTTAAAATAGCTTTATGTTTCTAAAGTAGATCTGAAAATGTGTTTTTTCCTTCATTTATAATAGTTAAGCTTGTAAAGAATTGAAAGTGAGTTTGAAAGTATCTAAAGAAGTTTAAAAGATATATTAGAATTTATTTTAGAAATATTTTTTTAAAAAAGTTTAGAGGATGAAAAAAAGGTTTCTTCCTGCAAAGAATCAAAGTATAGCGAATGTTGATAATATAAATGATAGTCTGTTAAAATTAGTAAGTGCAAGCTGAAATACATATTATTTTCCACAACAAAAAAGTAGACATGGTTGAATTGATTATTTTAGTCAAAGGAAAGAATATATGGAATTTTGTTTTCATTTGGAAACTGCTTCTAGATTTTGTGCTTGTGATGGAAAAATGAAACTTTTGTTTTGGTTTCATTGTTACAAAAATAGCTTGTATATATCATTGTGTAAAAATAAAAAGTTGAGGCAATAATGTTATCTATTACTGTGCTAAAGAGTCAAAAGTCACACTTTGTTTTCCCCTTCTGCCTCACATTTTGTCCTTTGCCCTTCCCTTTCTTTTCCATTATTTTTATTTTCCTTTAATATTAGAAAAAAATACATTTTATATTCTGATAAATTATTAATATTTTGATCCATTAAAAAAAGAAAATCAGAGGTTTTAAGCATAATGTTACACGACTGTGACTTGTGATTTTCTGCCAGCTTCCCTCACTGACTTTGCTTGTCAAAAGTAGAGTGTGAAAGTTTTTGTTAATTATAAAGAGGTAAACTCACAATTGTACTTATAACTGCTGTAAAGAAAATCAGAAGCTACTTCTTTGCATTTTTTTCTACTTTTCTGTTATGTATTTTTTTCTTTCCTGCATTTTTCTTTTTCTTTATTTTCTTCTTTCCTTCTTTCTTTTCTTTCTCTTATTTTGTTAGTTTGTATTTATTTCCTTCTTTAAAGTATTTAATAAAGTTATCTTTTAAAAAAGGAAGCTGGCTGTGAACATTGGAAATGGCAATCATATGACCATAGGATTATGTGACATTTAAAAATGTGTGGCAGTTGCCAAACACCCAAATCATGATTACGTGACTGTAGAGACATTACAAAGGCTGTAATTTTGAAGACCAGCTAAGGGTCATTTTTTTCAACACCAATGGGACTTCAATATCACTGAATAAATGGTAAGTAAGCAAGGACCACCTGTATTATAATTTCATTTATTTTTATTCCAAGGACATATTTTGTGAAAATGACTCTGATTATCCTCTAGAACAGGGGTATAAAACACAGGGCCCACAGTCCGGATCCAGCCTGTGATGTGGTCAGGGATATCCTGGAAAATGTAAGGAGCCAGTCCACATTGCTTCGGCCCAGTCTACCCAATGTGAAGAGGAAACATCAGCTTTGGCTCAGTCTACCCAAAGCAAAGAGGAAACATTGAGCCAGCATTGCTTTGGCCCTGTCTACCCAATGCAAAGAGGAAGTATGCCAGCAGCTTGGGGAGTGGTGTCAAGATGGCCATGCCCACCCAATTGGCCATGTCCAGTGAGTGGCATCAAGCTGGCTACACCCACCCAATTAACCACAGCCAATTGGCCACGCCTACCCAGCCCCCTCGAAGTCAACCACAGCCTTGATGCGGCCCTCAATGAAATTGAGTTTGACACCCCTGCTGTAGAATATAAAAGAAGATATTTCCTATGCCAATGAAAAAAATGTAATTCAAATTAATTAACTAAATTATCCACTATCTGTATCACTGCACTTGAGAAATTAACCTTTAATATAATTGAAGTATAATGAATGCCCAAGAAGAATGTTTGTCAAGTAAGAACCATTTTACAATATTCAAGGATATCTAACTATAATGAATAGCTAATGTCTGAAATTATTTTAAAATTCTTAACACAAAAATTTATTTTTGCAACTATATAGCATGAAAAAAATTAAATAATATAAAATGGTACAGAAAAAACTACCATTAAGTGCTAAACATTTCAAAAAATAAAAATTAAATAAACATTTTCAAAAGCATATGGTATAATCTTTAGTAAGCAATACTTCTGAACTACTTTATCAAACCCATGGCCTTATCGTAGCTTTGCCCACCTAATTATGCTAAAGATCTCTTGAGCAGGAACTAAGGCATTTTGAGTACTGGATGCTGTTATACTGCACTGAATTTATCTTTTTCTTTCCCACATCTAAAAGCACATTTCCCATAAAAGACAATTCTGATGTACTACCTATAACTGCATAGCATACAACATTATCATCTGCATAATACTGTTATATACTTTTTTCTACATATGAATTTAAAATTTTAAGGATTTAAGTTAAACCACTTAACATATACAAAATAAAATACATCAATATTTAAAACATTCTCACCTGAGATATGTTTGAAATGAAGATTTCTTTTGGTTCCTCTCCTGTGGTATCTAGGACTTCAAATTCATCACCAAAGTCACAAAACAGACGTGCCCATATTCCATACACATCCGCACTTATAAACTGTAGGAACAAGCCAAAATAATGACAATTAAATTTCCCAAGCTTGTATAAAATATTTTATTTTGCTACTGTTGATGAAAAAAAGAAAAGTTAATATGTTAACATTTAATACAGATTTATAATTGGCTTATATTGAGTTTTTCAGAATTTGAACAAAATAATAGATACTCATCCAATTTCTTTAGATCTCTGGCCAAGTTGTAGTTTCGGAATTACCCTTACAAAGCTTTTAGTCACATTTGTACTATAACCCAGTGTTTTTCAACCACTGTGCCGCGGCACACTAGTGTGCCGTGACATAGTGTAAGGTGTGCCGTGGGAAAAACACCTTATATATAGTCAATATA